CGTTTGGCGGAAGGGCGGGCCTGCTTGTTTAAAGTGCACTCGGCATGATTTGCCTTGTTGCAGCTGTAAACATCACGCTTGCATGCTTTTGAGGTTAAAACGTGTTTATGTTGAATCTTGTCTGACGCGGCGGCCGCACCGCGAGACGCGGGTAGGACCGAGGGCGCGGGGAGAGGAGGAAGAGGAGGTCTTAAGTTCTATTAGCAAATGATTCATTGCGAGCGCATGTATGGCGGGTGCTGTTGACAAACACATAGCCAGAACTTTCCATCGCATCCGAGAGCCACTAGGCGTGTCAAATGCCGTAATATCCCGTGAGTCGGGATGCAAAGGCAACTGATTGTAACCGGCACAATTGTCGGTAACCGTATGGAACTTATTCCCAAAACTATTATCGATTATTTGGTCCGGAGACATCACCGGGTAATCGATGGGTTTGAGCAGTTTATTAATTTGCCGAAAATCTTGAACCCAGCGCCATTGGGGTTTAGACGGATCCGGGGACGCTTTTGGAACGCACAGTACCGGCGTGCAGTACACACTAGTACAATACTCAATCAAATCCGATTTGAGAAGTTTTTGAATGTAATTTTCCACAAATCCCGCTTGATCCGGGGACATCCGATAATTCCGACGGCGCACAATTTTGGTTGGATCATACTCTATTTTTACCTCCGGATAACGACAAACACCTAACTCGGACACGTCCGACACAAAAACATCACGGAATTTTTCCAAAAGGCTCAGAGCAAGCTCTCTTTGAGCCGGATCCAATTTCGGATTAATGTCAAATTCTACTTTCTTCTCCGAGTTTGAAGTTAACTTGTCTACAGCACTCACCGGAAAACAGGTATCATAGAATATTTTCTCATTACTATCATCCACTGCCAGGTTTAATGAGGGGTTAATGTGTTTTGTCTTATTGCTTGTGTTAATGACCTGAATGTACTGTTTACCGCCTGGTTGCAGCAAGAAATCAGGGGACCAAAAGTTTGTGATTCCTGAACAAATTTGGATTTCCAATGAAAAGTGTGTCCTGTTGTA